AATGGTTTCATTGAAGACATCATAAGAAGGAAAGTGAAACGCCATGCAACCTCTGAAGAGACAACCAACACAACACCTATACCCCCTATTAGACTATTTTACAGGAACTTCTTTCCCACAGCTCATAAAACGGAGGAAAGGGTCCTGAAAGATATTGTTAATAGAAACGTTATCCCTACAGACGAAAATCAGAGGATACAACTGACGATTTACTATAAAACCAGGAAAACGGCCAGCCTACTCATGAGAAACTCTCCAGACACAAAACAGAACGCTTTAAAAGAGACTAACATCGTCTATGCCTTCAAATGCCCTCCTGGGGACTGTAAGCTCCAAAAAACCCAGTATATAGGCAAGACAACAACATCTCTTTCTAGGCGTCTAACGATGCATAAGCCACAGGGCTCCATTAAGGAACATATAATCTCTTCCCACAACCAAACCATCGCCAGAGAAATCCTAGTAAACAACACAGAAATCATCGATAGATACAGCGATAGCAGGCGGCTTGACGTTTGTGAGGCATTACACATCAAGAAGTCAACACCAGCAATCAACAGCCAATTAATGCACCACTATATTCTGCCCACCTCAAGACTCCGCTCCAATATAGAAGCATCAAGAAATATGGACCAATAGGCTTTCTACAATCACTTCTATTCAATACCCATTGTTTCATGTTCTGGCTTGTGTTGATGAAATTAATACCTTATTAAATACCACCTCACCCCATCCACCTCACTCAAATGTAGATATAAACAAAATCGGAGATGTGTAAGTTCTATTCAGTTGTGTATGTGTTAACTAAAGTCTTTGAAAATGTAATAAGTTTTACGAAACGCGCTCAAGTGTCGCGTCAGACTAGAAATAAAAATGAATTTTGGAGAATTGATTTTTGAATTACCTCCAACAGTGAAAAGAAATGTACGAAAGATTGAGATAATTCGTGTTAGAATTATTAATCTTACTTTTTCGGTCATATTTAATAATATGTCTACAGGAAAGACTGCTACCAAAATATACTAATATATATATATATATATATATATATATATATATATATATATATATATATATATATATATATATATATATATATATATATATATATATATATATATATATATATATATATATATATATATATATATATATATATATATATATATATATATATATATATATATATATATATATTTATCATTTCATAAGAAACAAATTAGAGAAAATATATTCAATCATTCATGGAAAAACTTGGCTTATTAGCAAATCGGGCCTTGCATAGTAGGCCGAGAAGTGAATTCTGGCTACTAGGTACGACATATATATATATATATATATATATATATATATATATATATATAATATATATATATATATATATAATATATATATATATATATATATATGTTTCATTGAATATGACCGCATATTCTGTATTTATTATTTTCTGGTTTAGGGCTTCTATCCCTCTAACTATTTTCTTAGCATCAGGGCTTAATTGAAATAGGAGTTCTCCAAAACTCATTTTCGTACTTTTTAAGGTGAAGAAAAGAAGTGATTTACTATAGAGTGTATTACACTTATTTGTATAATTTGCACGACGTTTCGAACCTCCATGGTTCATTCTCAAGTGAACAGATCTTACAATACTAGTTGATTTTATACCCGCATTAGGTCAGGTGATAATACAATGAAGGTGAAAACATGGGGGGATACATAAGGATAAACATAGGGGCTGCAGAAGGCTTATTGGCCCATACGAAGCATCTCCTATCTAAACACAAAGATTAATCCAGTGTAATTGGCCTGTTATGTTGGACATTGTCTTCTGTGTTGGCATCGATATGTTCTTGTCTTGTCCTTACTCTCATGGTGGGTAGAGTAAATAGTTCCGTGATTTGGGTGTTCATGGTAGGTCGCTCTATTCTTATGTGAATTGCAGGCAATTCACATAAGAATAGAGCGACCTACCATGAACACCCAAATCACGGAACTATTTACTCTACCCACCATGAGAGTAAGGACAAGACAAGAACATATCGATGCAAACACAGAAGACAATGTCCAACATAACAGGCCAATTACACTGGATTAATCTTTGTGTTTAGATAGGAGATGCTTCGTATGGGCCAATAAGCCTTCTGCAGCCCCTATGTTTATCCCTTATGTATCCCCCCCATGTTTTCACCTTCATTGTATTATCACCTGACCTAATGCTGGTATAAAATCAACTAGTATTGTAAGATCTGTTCACTTGAGAATGAACCATGGAGGTTCGAAACGTCGTGCAAATTATACAAATAAGTGTAATACACTCTATAGTAAATCACTTCTTTTCTTCACCTTAAAAGTACGAAAATGAGTTTTGGAGAACTCCTATTTCAATTAAGCCCTGATGCTAAGAAAATAGTTAGAGGGATAGAAGCCCTAAACATATATATATATTAGTATATTTTGGTAGCAGTCTTTCCTGTAGACATATATTATTAAATATGACCGAAAAAGTAAGATTAATAATTCTAAAACGAATTTTCTCTATCTTTCTTACATTTCTTTTCACTGTTGATGGTATTTCAAAGATCAATTCTCCAAAATTCATTTTTATTTCTAGTCTATATATATATATATATATATATATATATATATATATATATATATATATATATATATATATATATATATATATATATATATATATATATATATATATATATATATATATATATATATATATATATGTCGTATCTAGTAGCCAGAACGCACTTCTCAGCCTACTATGCAAGGCCCGATTTGCCTAATAAGCCAAGTTTTCATGAATTAATGTTTTTTCGACAACCTAACCTACCTACCCGGACCTAACCTACCTTTTGGGCTACCTAACCTAACCTAACCGATAAAGATAGGTTAGGTTAGGTTAGGTAGGGTTGGTTAGGTTCGGTCATATATCTATGTTAATTTTAACTCCAATAAAAAATAATTCACCTCATTCATTATGAAATGGGTAGCTTTATCATTTCATAAGAAAAAAATTGTAGAAAATATATTAATTCAGGAAAACTTGGCTTATTAGGCAAATTGGGCCTTGCATAGTAGGCAGAGAAGTGCATTCTGGCTATTAGGTACGACATATATATATATATATATATATATATATATATATATATATATATATATATATATATATATATATATATAGTAGCCGTACCGTATAGTGCGTACCTAGTAGCCAGAACGCACTTCTCGGCCTACTATTCAAGGCCCAATTTGCCTAATAAGCCAAGTTTTGCTGTATTAATATATTTTCTCTAAATTTTTTCTTATGAAATGATAAAGCTACCCATTTCATTATGTATGAAGTCAATTTTTTTTTATTGGAGTTAAAATTAACATAGATATATGACTGAACCTAACCAACCCTACCTAACCTAACCTAACCTATCTTTATAGGTTAGGTTCATTTAGGCAACCGAATAAGTTAGGTTAGGTTAGGTTAGGTAGGTTAAGTAGTCGAAAAATAATTAATTCATGAAAACTTGGCTTATTAGGCAATTCGGGCCTTGCATAGTAGGCTGAGAAGTGCGTTCTGGCTACTAGGTATATATATATATATATATATTTATATATATATATATATATATATATATATATATATATATATATATATATATATATATATATATTTGTCCCCCATTGCTTCTGAGACGCTCGGCGCCTGGGGTAAAAGTGCTACCAGTTTTTTGAAGGAACTGGGTTCTAGGCTCATTGAAACAACAAGGGACCCGAGAGCTGCAAGCTTTCTTTTCCAGCGCCTCAGTGTGGCGATACAGAGGGGAAATGCGCACTGCATCCAGGGTTCCTGCCCGCCATCTGAGGAGCTGGAGGAACTCGACAACCTATGACAACCATCTTTGTAACCCATATGTAACTCCTTTTTTGTAACAAAGTTCAAATAAAGTAAATATATATGTGTACATACAAAAGAATGGGAGTGGTAGGAGAAGATAATATTAGTGTTCAGTGAGAAACCACAAGGTCTCCTCTGAATACTTTTTATTTTCTTCTCCGAGGCTATGGGTCCCCACATTGGCACCAGAGGTGGTACCCTCACAAACTTATATATATATATATATATATATATATATATATATATATATATATATATATATATATATATATATATATATATATATATATATAGACATAGGTTAGGTTTGGAAAGGTGTTTAGGCTCTGTTGGTGATTATTTGTATTTGTAGTAGGTGGGTGAAGCATTTATAGCGTTGTGGTTCGAACAAAAATCGTCAGTGAAGCTCTTGTTCCGGAAGTATTCGAACGAAATCAGTTGTGAATCGTGTGTAAACCGTTTTTCATTGAAAAACAGTGAGGTTTGGAGGGTGCTTGGAATCACTTGTGGGTTTTCATTTGGAGGACGGGCTGCTTTCGGCGACACATCCCGACCCAAAACAAGCCTCAGACGGCTCGCCAACAGTTTCGATATTATTTTATAATCTTGATTTAACAAGGAAAAGGTCTCCAATTGCACAAATCCTTTAAAACCCCCGATTTCGGAAGGAGTCGAACAATACCATAAGATTGGGACCTTCTGATCACCTTATTTCGGAAACAATATCTCACCACCTGTGTTTTTTATTTAACCAATACAACAAAATTATATCCAGTGTTTTGAAATAAAATATTGTCCTCTGTGTGTGTGTGTTAATTACTTGAGGCTTATAGCTACGTGTTTTGTCTCTCGGTTTTACCCAACAGGTTATAAATTAAAATTTTTGCTTTTTAATTAAAATTGATTTTTTGTTTGACAATAAAAGAATGCTAAGCACGATTTATAATTCAATTTGGAAATGATCAGTTGGCCGTTAGCGAGTTATTAGTGACATTTGAATCAATAGTTTAAAACCAGGAGCAGGTTAGCCAATGGTGTGACTCTAAGCTGGAATATCGGCCAATCAGCGCCCGTGGTTGCTTGAGCTATGGTAATATAAGGGGCGGGCTGGCCACACTTCCCACAGTTGGAGTCGCTCGTGCATCGGCTGTTGAGATAGTCAAGTACTGTCATAAGTAGACGTTGTTGTTATTGTATGTATTGGTAGAATATTTTCTTGTTTTACTCTTCTCGGTTTAATGTTTCTCTTGTCCTTTCTAGGATGATTACAATATGGATGTTTATGTTGAGTGTTGGTGTAAGTTTGGGTCAATACTTTGGCCAGGGAGGAGAATCTTTCACTGACCAACAGAACCAACGCATTTCTTTAACTCGACCGAATACAGTTATTGCTCCAAATGCATTTGTAAGGAACCTACAGATTCAGAACGCCCTCCCAGTGCAGCAGGGGTTCCCAGTTCAGCCTCGGTTACAGCCTTTACCTTTTAATCAGTTCAACATTCCCCAAAACGTTCCAATCCAGCCGCAAGTTTTCCAGTCACCACAAGTGGCATTTCCTCCGTTCTCGCCACAACCACCTGTGGTGCAGTCTGCTTCTCCACTACCTACACAGTCGCCCCTGAACCTTTGTGGCCACTCCTCCGCTCTTGTACGTATAATAAACTTCTTGATTTACTACGCTTCACAAAAAAAATATGCATAATGGCAAGCAAAAATTGTAACACTTTGGCACCCCACAGGTACACGCCACTTACAAAAGCCGCGGGTACCACTTATCCTGGTGCAGAACCCAAGCCACCTTCAGTTGGGATCAAGGCAATTCCTATTGTTCGGGTCTTGGTAGAGACTTCAGACTTGTCTCCATAGAATCCAAAGATATTGATGACTTTATTACTGACATCATTGCTAGACGTACGTACCTCTTGATTATTTATTTTATATATATATATATATATATATATATATATATATATATAACGCGATCCAATGATGTGTACTTCGAAAACTTTAGAAATTCATAAACTTTAGGTTATATGTGAATTGATCTCCAAATTTAATTTTGAGTTGGGGTTCAAAAAGTGCAGAAGAGATTAATTTTGATCCTATTTCAGATGCAGTAAAGTTCTTCTGGACTGGCGGCAACAAACGAGGTTATGGCGTCTGGCGGTGGCTGTCGGGAAGCTTGGTGACTTACAGCAAGTGGTCCCATACTGGAGGGTATGTGGTCACCTTTCCCAGTGTTTATGAATATTATACTGTCCCTCTTGTATAATGATGCAACTAAACTGTTATAGTTCAGTTAACTAGACTTAATTTATTTCACGGTGAGCAGGAATGGTCAGCCACAACCAGACAACCGTGAGGGACACGAGGACTGCTTAGCAGTGATGAACAACTTCTACAACGACGGCATTAAGTGGCACGACATTGCTTGCTACCACGATAAGCCCGTCATTTGTGAGACTTCGGTCTTGCCTTCTCCTTATTCTAACTTTTAATGGTATTGACCAACAACGGCACTAGTTGTGACCGATAAATGTTACTCGCTGCTTCTATTGCTCTAGCATAATTTGTGAAATAAATTGGAATTTATATAATCTACTTTGTCTCAAATGCCATCACCAATTAGAGGTGGAAAGGGAGAGCTTGCACATACACTAATTGGTTTGTATAATCTCATAAAACCGTTGGTTATTAATAACCAATATTTATAAGATGACAGATTTGTAATAACCTTAACTTTAAGTTCACCTGAAGTATTAATCTTTAGGACATTTACTTTTTTTTTATTTTCTTGGTATGTATGTTCATCTAGTTGTGCTTGCAAAGAAAAGTCTTTGGCTCTTTACATTCACATCACCTGGTGTACAGATTAGTGGGCTCAATTATACCAACACTTCCAACTGTGTATGGAGTCTGCCTACCCCACCTCCTTTCCTGATGCATTCAATGTATTAATTACCGACATTGAAAGTTCCTTCTAACGTTCCTGTGGCTCATGGGTACTACATTTCAACAAAGCTGTGTTCACATACCACCCGTGTAAACTCTCTCATTATCTACCTGTCAATTCCTGAGAATTTTGTAGGTAGTGATCATGTCCTCGTCCGAGATCACCCGTCATTCAGCTACGTGAAGAGAATTTCGGCTTCTTCGTAACTCTTGCCTCTTGGTTCTGGGACTAGCATAGTGATTTTTTTTTTTTTTTTTTTTTTCTCTCTCCCTCTCCCAGCTGTCTTGTGCTTGACAGGGTACGGGCTCCATGCTGGGACTGCATACTTCAGAACTGGTCTTACATACGTGGTTTACAAGGTTTTAAAAAAAATTCCTTACACTGCTTCCTAAAAGTAGTCCTGGTGTTAACCAGCCTTAAACATTAATTTTTACATGCTTAAACATCTGGGATAGTAAACAGTTAGATTTATCGTTCTTACAATTTGCTGTTATCCTGGTCATTGAAGCCCTTTCCTGGGAGGTAGCCGAATGCTTGGCAGCTCACTAAAGTGTTGGCGAGATCCAAATGTGGGTTTCAAAGAATGTGCCCTTAGTGCCATTCCTTGTCTGTCATGTTGTGACGGGAAAGGACCATAGAGATTGAGACGATGACATTGAGGAGAACTAGAAATAAGAAATTGTTCTGGTGGATTCGTTCACGAGACTCCTCTTTGCAGCCAGCCATGTGCTACTTGTTTCGCCACTTGATTACTTTTAGTGATCGTGCCTTCCATACTACAGTAATTTTTGTTGCTGCCTTGGCTTCTGAACTGAATCTTTTCCATGCCTGTGCTACATGTAATAGCAGTATGGACGTGGGGCCTCAACTTGCGTTTGCATGGTGTCCTTTTTGCCCATTGTGTGGCAAGATGGCCACTTTAAATCTCATTTTTGTTCTTCCCAGCTCGGTTTCAACAGTAGCGATGCTCGCTCGGCTGTTTCTTAACCTTGGGAGGGGGTAGCGCAAGCACTTGTGCCCTCGCACAAACACAACCTGGCATATGCAGAGTAGTCAACATTTGGAATGCATTTAGTGATGTGGTCGAGGCAAACTCCATACAGTTTCAAATGTAGATTTGATAGAGCCCAGTAGGCTGGAGAATCTGTACACCTGTTGATTGACGGTCGAGAGGCAAGACCAAAAAGTCAAAGCTCAACCCCCGCAAGCACAACTAGGTGTGGTCAGTTCCTGAGATCATACGCCAAATACAAAACAGGGTAAACACTCTCCCAGGCCGGCCTCCACAATCATACAACATTCGTATACATGAAGGACTGTATCGCTGGAGATAGCCTCCCATCCCTCACATGGCTAACACGGCGCCATGGCACTGACGCGGTGTTTCGTGAGTAAGGCACCAGGGGCATAACGTGACTAGTGTAGTTTCATACACGTATCCCCCTGGTATACACACTGGCTGGTGTCTGCGGTCCGTACACAGCGTAATGGCATGGACAACATTACCATGCAGTGAGATTTAATGTCTCCTTGCGTTGGGCTGAAATTACAATGTCCCTAAATTGCTTGTAGAGCTTCCCTGATAACATTGTGTGCTGGGATATGTAGTCAATGTGACAAGATGACGAGAGATGAGGGTATTACGCACGGATCTAAACCAACAATCTTGATACACCTGTCAAGAAAATGCAGTTGACTCTACTTTTAAGTTCATGCCTCACTAAATCAAGGTAGTTTTGTTCACGGATTCCGGATTCTGCCTCACTACGGCGGAGTCGGGTTGATGAACGATGAGAAAGTGACTCAAGTGTCGCTACAGGTGGTGATTCGCGTAGGTTTGCCCTTGCCATGTCAAGACATCTACCTACTGAAGTGGCACCCTTCAGAATGGTTTGTAGAGTAAAGGAAAGGCAGCGCGGTACTTGTCCTCTTACAAATTGTCTGAATTTGGCAATTTACCCGTGTGGGCGAAAATGGACGCAATTTGAAAACTAAAAAATAAAAGATTGAAAATTTGGGATTTATTTTTTTCAAAAACAGTAAGTTAAAGGTCCTCTGGTAGGTTTGGAAGGCAGGAAATTCTCCTAAACTTTCAAAACGTCACAAAAAACGTCAATTGAAAGTTTTCTTTCCTAACCTTTCCGAGTAAGCCAGAGGACTCAAACAGAATACAGGACAGATATAAATTTTGTGAGCTGACTTCATATCAAATTACGTATACGTTTCGCCATAGCGCGCATACAAGCGAAAAGCGACGGTTATTTTTAAGAGGACGGGTTGGTGTACTCAAATTCCAAGTTTGACATATGCCCAGTGACGTTAAGGTGTGGAGACCTGGTGGTGAGGTGGTGGCCAAGACAGTTGACCTCTCCAACCCCCCCTCAAATCCCCCACACCCCTATTCACTTGCTACACAAACTCATATGAAGCATTCTTTTAACTATACCTTTCGTCAGACAACCTACAGCGACCCCAGTAGCAGCAATTGAATAGTTTAAGAGCTGTATATTGACACCCATCAAGCTGGTGTAGGTCGATTATTTCCTAAATCGTGGTCTTGTGCACCGCCATGCTGCTTGTGCACACACAATAGTGCACAAAACTAGCTGGGGAAATCCATTCCCTCCGTCTTGAACAAGGTGCGGAGGTGAAAGATAATCACTAAGTGGGAGAGGAATTAAGTCTCAATAAGGATATCCCAAATTCCAGTCATGTCCCCACCTGCCCACAACACTAAGACGTCATCTCGGGACGGCCCAAGGTGCGCCCTTGCAGTCAGAAACTGCTTAATACAAAAAGTAAGTAATTATCAAAAGAAGGCACCAAACCGGGAAGGCTATGTAGCACCATCAAATGCGCAGAATAATCAGAGGGCGCTAAATGTCACCAAGGATGCCAATACGAGAACAAAAACGCATAAGGCGAACGATATCAAAAGTATCAGTCACCAAGAATTCTATAGAGGGACAGGTGACCGCGAGGGGCGGTCGGAAAGCAAGACACACGCTCGTCCTGGAAGTCAGGACATTCAAGAAGGACATACACGACCGTAAGAGGGACATGCAAATAGGACAATAAGGAGCTGGGCGGTGCTCCATCAAGTGACCATGGGTTAAGCGAGTATGGCCAATACGCAACCTCGCCAGAGCTGTTTCCCATCGCCGGTTACGGTGGTAGGAGGACGGCCACGAGGAAACACAACATTTAAGAGTACGTAGTTTGTTACCAGTAACAGATAACCAAGAAGCCTGCCAACGGGTAAGGACGGAGGAATGGATAACTGGGTAAAAGTCGGAATATGGAATACCTTTACGAGAGACGGGACAAGAGCGGACAGTTTCCTTGGCGGCAGCATCTGCACGCTCATTTAAAGACACCAATATGGCTGGGAACCCAACAAAACTCAACCGACTTAAATTTACTGTGAACAAGAAACAGCCAATGCTGGATCTCGCAACTACTGGATGAACCGGATTAAAGGACCCAAGAGCCATGAGGGCACTACGAGAGTCGACAACAACTACAAAGGAAGACTGACAACGAGAAAGCAGGAGACGAAGAGCATAGAGAATAGCATAAAGCTCCGCTGTAAAGATGCTAGTCTCCGGAGGTAAGCGACACATATAAGTGCGATCAGGAAAAACAACAGAGTAGCCAACACCGTCCGCAGACTTAGACCCATCGGTGAAGACAGAAACGGAGCGGGAGTGAGAAGAAAAGTGCTCAAGGAAAAGGCGTTTTAGAACCGTAGGAGGGGTAAAAGCTTTAGTGATACGGGTCAAGGAAGTACAAAACCGCAGAAGAAAGACTCTCCACGGGGGCAAAGAAGGAACAACACGAGGAGAAACATTAGAAATATGAACGGAAAGAGAATCCTGTAGGCGAGATAACCGGACAGAAAGAGGGAGGTGGTGAAGAGGAACAGGAACCGCAGGAGGGGTAAAAGTTAAAGCACGACAGAGGCGAGAGGAAGGATGTTGTAAGGACCGCGCAAGATAGCGAAGACAGTAGCGATCACGGCGGTCTTGGAGAGACAGGAAGCCAGTGTCAACATACAAGCTAAGGACGGGAGTCTAACGAAAGGCACCAGAACTGACGCGCAACCCAGTATGGTGCAAAGTATCAAGACGGCGAAGAGTAGAAGGAGAAGCAGACGAGTAAGCAGGGCAACCGTAATCGAGCTTAGACAGGACGAGAGAGGAATGTAAAGCAAGGAGAGTGCGCCTATCTGCCCCCCAAGAAGTATGGGACAAGACCCGAAGGAGGGTAAGGGCCTTAGAGCACTCAACACGGAGGTAAGAGATATGGGGAGACCAAGACAAACGAGTGTCAAGGAATAACCCCAAAAGCTTTGCGGAATCTTTGTACTCAAGGGGATGACCATAAAGTGACAAAGAGGGACGAAGAACGACCCATTTCCGCGTAAAAGTCATGGCACAAGTCTTAGAAATAGGGAACTTGAAGCCATGATCGGTGGCCCAAGACGACACGGCATCAATTGCAAGTTGAAGCCGGCGCTGAAGGAGAGGCGAATCATCACCCTGACAGCAAAGGGTAAGATCATCGACATAGAGAGCGGAGAAGACACCTGAAGGAAGAGAAGAAAGAAGACCATTGAGGGCAACCAGAAAAAGAGTAGTGCTCAGAACACTACCCTGGGGCACACCTTCGTATTGCTGAAAAGAGGCAGAAAGAGCGGTACCAAGGCGCACCCGAAAGAAACGACGAGAGAGGAAGCTGCGGAGAAAGAGAGGGAGATGACCACGAAGGCCAAAAGAATGAAGTTGAGATAGAATATGATATCTCCAAGTGGTGTCGTAAGCCTTTTCCAGGTCAAAAAGGACGGCAACAACGGAGGTCTTCGCAGCAAAAGCAGTACGAATATAGACCTCCAAGTTCACCAGGACATCTGTCGTGCTGCGGCACTTGCGGAAACCAAATTGAGAAGGGGAGAG